GATCCTCGTTTTGTATTTGCATTGTTTTCCTCAGGTCTTTGAATCTTTGTCTGTTTTCTCTTAATTCTTTAATTATGTTTGACATTGTTGTATTACTGGTTTCCCTTACATTCTGAAAGTAGAGCATTCCTGTGAAACCTTTTTTGTAAGCTGAATTGATGTAAAGTGTATTGCCACTAATTTATACAGGAACATTTTTTGGAGCTTTCTCAGACCCAAAAGTTAGTTACCAAATCTTAGCAAATAGCACATAAAATCTAAAACAATACTTAAACATGAATGTTCAGAGACTCAGCTCAAAGCCATGTCAACTTGATACTGAGATGATGAGTGTAGTTCTCAAAGAAGGAGATTGGCAAAACCACATTGGCTGCTCATGGTGAGCAATATATTTGTAACAGCTTGCTATAAAACAGATGTGGAATTCTAGTTTCACTTTTCATCTTACTTGTTTTTGTTTTTGTAAAAGTGAAAACCGTCTTCATGTTTCTTTTGGTTAGCAAAAGTAGATACTATTATCTTTTGTAAAACCAAAGTGATAGGAAGCGAACTTTTGAAAAGTGTCGATAATTGTTTTTACATTCTTTTCATTATTCCATCTTTGTGGATGCAGTGTTGCTCCCTTTGTCTTGGTTCCTTTGGATTGACCAACCAGAAGGGGCTATCATGTTGGTCTTGAGACCTGAACTGTGGGACGTGCAGGAAGATCCGTTTCTTTTGTCAGAGTGGGGATTTTTTGTCATTATTTCTCCTTTTAAAAAAAGATTTTTTAAATCTTTTCTCTCATTTCCTACTAGAATTCCCATGATGTGTAGATTAAGTCTATTATTTTTCCATAATTGCATAAAACTGTGCTTTTTGTGTGTGTGTATTGTGATTTTTTTGTTGGGGCATTGGAATTTTGTATGGTGTGTTTTTTGTTTTGTTTGTGTGGTTTTATTTTTGGTGTTTTTGCCTGCACTGTTTTCTGCAGAAATCTTTTAGGCGAGCAGAGCCTTTGGCTTTTGCTTACTGTTTCTTGTCCTCTCTTGATAGTTTATTTCTCCCTTCCTGGTTTAATTAGGATATGAAAGTTCTAGATCTCAGTTTTTCAACTTTAAATGTCTCCCAGACATACCAGAGAACTTGCTGAGGTCACTCTTTCTGCCACTGAGTTACTCATTTGATGCCATGCACTAACCATTCTGTTCAGCAGGGGAACCAGCCCCCCCCCCCCTCATTATTATTACACTGTCCCTCAGTGTGTTTCTGTAATCATGTTTCTTTTGAGAAACTTATACTTAGCAAGGTCACTTTTGGGTTGGGTTTTGCCCAATAATTTTTTCCCTGCTTTGTAGTGGTGTTGTTAAGTACCTTTGAGTTGGTTCTGACTTAGAGCAATGCTGTATAGGGTTTCCAAGGAGCAGCTGGTGGGTTTGAACTGCTGACCTTTGGTTCTCAGTCCAGTGATGATCCTACAGTGCCACATCAGAAAGTTCTTCACTGTATTATGTTCTTCCAATCTGTTCATTATTTGGCATTCCATAATACAGTTCTTATCCCTTCATCTCATTTACTTGAATGGAACATCATTTCAGGTTGTTGTTGTTTTTGTGTTTGTGTGTGTGAACCTTGTGATTTTTTGTTAAAATCGGAACCTTAGAATATTATAAGGTACAAGCTTTCACAATCCCCCGAATATGTAGTGTTTTTAGTTATGATGTCAGTGCTCATATCTGGTAGAAACTCTTAATTAAACAGACACATTCCTACTTTGCTCAGTCTAAGTACTTATGAGAAATTTGGTTCAAATTTCAAATCTTTAACAGCTCTCAGATTAGAAAACAAACAACAATGAATTTGCCTCTTTCCTTCCAGAAGAAGCCTTTAGTCTCTGGTGACCACTCCCTCTTCCACTTAATGAGGACTCTCAATTCCTGCTGGACCAAGATTCAGTCCTTTAGCAGCTCTAAAACTAGTCCGTGTTCTTGGTACAGCACTGTGGGACAAGCACTGGACTGTTTATCACAAGGTCGGTGGTTCAAACCCACCAGGCACTCTTTGGAAACCCTACAGGGTGTTTGAGTCATAACCAACTCTTCGGACCTTAACAACAACAAAAACTAATGACAAAGTACAACACTGGTCAACCATTCTGAGGCAGTTATAGATAGCCCTCAGTCCTTGGTTGCTGTTCTACCCCCACTATGTGAGATACTTGTTTCCAGTTAGACCACAGTTTCAGTTTTTCAGACTGCTTCCAGACCAATTAGAATTAACACCCTGTGAAGTGTTCACTAGCAAGATCTAAACAATTTATTTCAGAGCTAGAGATTGGGACTCTCCCCACTGCATTTTGGCTGGGAGTGCAGGTCCAGTTGAGCTCCGTTGCAGCTATTTGCCCCTCAGGAAGGGTAGTGGGTGGGAGTGGGAGTGGGGGTGGTGGTGGAGGGGTGGAGTTGAGGACATTCGGAATTGTTCTCCAGGAAAATCTGACCTATTTAGAGCCTTTCCCATTGCACAACCTTTATTGTTATTAAGTGCATCAAGTCACTTCTGACTCACAGCCACCCTGTATAGGGTTTCTGAAGAGCTACTGATGGGTTTGAACCACTGATCTTGGGTAGCAGTCCAATGCCTATCCTACAGTACCACACCAGGACTCCCCATTGCATTAGAGAGCCATGCATTGACTGGGATGGCTGGACTAGGGGAAAAAGTGATCTTTCTACCTTAACAGAGTCATTCCTGTGTTGGATTCAGTTTGCAGCTTCTTGCTGTGTTCTTTAGCCTACCATTTTAGCATTTTCATAGGACTGATTAAAAACTTCCATTGTTTGTCTTGGTGTTTCTGTAGTAAGTGTCATTATCTTAGACTTGGTCACTCAGCTATTTTTCTATAATAGTCTTAAAGGTAGCTTTTTATAGTTGATATGTGTGTATTAACATGGAATTGGTTGTCCTCTGTGTATTCTTTTAACAGTTCTTCCACCATTTCTGCTCTTTTTTTTCTTGTTGCGGATTTGCTGTTGTTTGAGTCAACCTTTTACTCATCCTAGCATTTGACAATCCTACTATCTGAATTTGAAGTCTTGATATGGCTTTGTGGGCTAATGTGCTGGACTGCAAAGTTGGTTTGAAACGCAAGATCAGCGGTTCATGCTCACCAATTACTCCTCAGAAACCCTATACAGGTTCGCTATGAGTCAGAACTGACTCAGCAGCACTTAACAATAACACCACTCTGAATTTGGTTGATTGCTTCCCTGAAGTGTTTTAACTTCTTTCCCTTTGTCCCAGTAGATAGATCTAGAGACTGGATAAGATTCAGGTTCAGCTCTTTTTAAACTTTTTTAAAATCAAGATTTCCCTATTGTTGTGCTGTCAAGTTGGTTCCAACCCATAGCGACAGCGACCCTGTGTAGGGTCTGAGGAGTGGCTTGTAAGTTTGAACCACCAACCTTACTGTTCAAACTGACTTTGTAGTCCAGTGCATTAACCCACAGTGCCACACCAGGGCTCCAGTTGCTTTACACATAAGGAGGCATATAATGTCTGATTGTCCCACTTTCAGTGATTCAACGATAGAAGATTCAGGTGGTGTTGACCTAATACACACACTCACTGTAATGGTTATACTTTTCCTTTCTTTGTATGAATTTTTAACATGCACTGATGATGATCATTGTCTAGATCTGTTGTTTTGTGGGAGGACTGCGTAAAGGTGATTTCTAATTATATCATTTTTGGTTGATGCATTTTTAGCTGAAGGTCTAAAAATTAAAGCAAGCAAACAAAAAGAACTTTAAGCTTATGAATGTAGTTAGCATGAACTACAGTTAGGTTAGTACAAAAAAACAGATTAAATGTTCAGTTTCCTTCCTTGTTCTTTTCTTTATTTGTTTTTAGCACAGTGAGTTGAGTCTAGCAGCCTCCAAGGTGTGGCACTATAGGGTAAGTACTAGACACTAACCACAGGGTCAGCGATTCAAATGTACACGTTGCTCCTCTGAGTCTCTATGAGTTGGAACTGACTGGACAACACTAACAACAACAAATGGTGATCAGTGAAGAGTCCATTTATTTATTGTCTCATTTATTAACTCATGTTTTTTATATATTTTAATAACTTTATTGTTCATGTTCTTCCACCTATTATTGTTAATGTGTTCTTAAAGGAAGTCCCTTAGATTTAGAAATGGATGAGATTTAACAGCACTCATGTGTTAATGTATTTGTTGGGGTGGGGGTTTGATAAATGGGTAGTGTATTTCTTAAGTGAACATCTAGCAGCAGAAAAATCAAAGGGCAGTTGTGATACTTAGGATCTTGGGTATAAGGAATAAAGAAAAGTAGGTCAGAGATATTGCAAAAAGGGCTTTGCCAGCTAAATTCAGGAATTAGGTTTTTAAAACTTAGGTAGTGGACTAAAAAAAGTTTATGGCATTTTCTATCTCACATGAGAACTATAGTAAACTTACTTGAATACCATTTTTGTTGAATTTTAGAAAGATGAATTGCTAAATAAATTAATACTTTATAAAATTAAGTCTGGTTTGAATCGCCACTTGAATGACTATTAACCAAATTTCTCAGGACTCTGTAATCCTTTAATCTATACTTTTATCACATGTGATATACTTTCCTTGAATTTGACTTTTTGTGCTCGTGTATGTTGTTAAGTACCGTGGAGTCGGTTCCACCTCATAGTGACCCTGCACAGGGTTTCCGAGCAGAACGCCTCATCTTTCTCCTGTGGAACCACTGGTAGTTTCGAACTGCTGACCTTGCGGTTCACAGCCCGATTCATAACCACTATGCTACCATAGCAATGGCCAAAAGTATTCTTAAATTATTTCTAGTGTTTAAAAAAAAAAAATCCTATACATTATTTAATTATCCCTCTGTTACATGCTTGCTATATTGAAGCGTTGGTGGGCTTTAAAATATCTTGGTATACAGTTTGGCTCTAATGATCTGCTTTTGCTAAATTCTACTTATTAAATTCTAGGACCCCATGAATGTGCTTCAGTTTCATAATGCCTCCTGCTATGGCAGATATTCTTGACATCTGGGCAGTGGACTCACAGATAGCATCTGATGTCTCCATACTTGTGGATTTCCTTTTGCCCACTGGGATCTATATCCAGTTGGAAGTACCTCGGGAAGCTACCATTTCTCATATTAAGCAGGTATGTAAATAGACGGGATTTGTATTAAGTTGGTTTATTGTGTCACATAGGTGAAAATGTGATTCTTTTATAAAACATGTTATTAATATAAATCATGGTAATTGTGAGGAAAGTTTTAGTTAATAACATTTTAAAGATTTTGATGCATGCTTTGGTTTTTTTTTAGGCAAACTCATATTTGCTCCATCATTGTTTTTAATTCATATGTGATAGCTAAATTAAGCAAGATTGATGTTGTTGTTGTTAAGTGCCATTGGGTTTGTTCTGATTCATAGCAACCCTGCATAAGGTTTCCTAGCAGCAGCTGGTGTGTTTGAACTGCCAACTTTGTGGTTTGCAGTCTAGTGCTAATCCTAGCCATGCCAGCAGTCTATATATATATATATTTTTTTTTTTTTTTAAGTTAAAAATCTTTGTAGTTATTGTCTTTGAGTTTGTTGCTGTTTCTTTTTTTTTTTCCCAATCAGTAATTTTTGGTTGGGTTCTCCTTTCTGACAACTTCCCACCCCCTTCCTTTCATGATTACACTGCAGGAAGAGTTTTCTGCTGTTCACTAGAGTTTTTCCTCCTCCTCGTAAATGTGATCTGCCTTCAATTGAAAGCAAATTCATTTACAGGGTAAGTCTTGTCCTGGTACCACACTATAGAATAAGCATTCGACCGCAGTTGTGGTCAGTTTGAATTACACAGTTGGCAGTTCAAATTCACGATTTGTAGCAACAGCACTTAATAACAACAACAACATTGTTTTTGATTAAGGAGCCTCGGTGGCCTAGTGGGTTACAGGTTGGGCCAGCAGTTGGGGTCCACTAGGCAATCCACAGGAGAAAGATGAGACTTTCTCTGTGAGTCAGAAACGACTCACTGACACCACACCACTACCACCATCATTATGTTGGATTGCATTTTCAGGTGAATTCATGAGTGCAATTTATTTGTGGGTAATTCTGGTGTTATGCTGCTAACCACAAGGTTGGCTGTTTAAACCCACCAGCCACTTCTTGGAAACGCTATACAGGGTTGCTATGAGTCAGTGTATAACAACAACAATGATTTGTGGAAACTAAAGCATACAAATGAAATTGTTTACTGAACTTTCTTTTGAATGTTTTTCAAATTCCTGAACTTGAGATGAAAATTATGGGTCATGCTATTTTTAAAGAAAAATACTTAAGACAAACATTTTTAAAGCTCCTGACTTGGGACAAGTTTTTGAACTGTTTTCCATGCTGCTATATCTGGGAAGCATGACAAATTTTAAACTGCATGATCATTGAAGGCAAAGAGAGAGAGAATTATCTTAGGTACCCCATAGGTGTTGTATGCCTATTTTATAGTTACTAGAGACAATTATGAGGAACCTTGGTGATAGAGAGGTTAAGTGTTCAGCAGCTAGCCAAAAGTTGGCACTTCAAACCATGAGCCTTTTCTGTGGTAGAAAGATGTAGCAGTCTGCTTCAGTAAATATTATAGTCTAGAAACCCAGTAGGGTAGTTCTAATCTGTCCTGTGTAGGCTTGCTTTAAGTTGGAATCATACTCAAATGACTATGAGTTTGGTTTTATGCAAGCAACAGAGATGAGATGTCTCTGACTACAGCGGAGACTGGATTAACCAGTGATGTATCCTGTTGGTTTTATGTAT